ACAGACCAGCCTCCAGGCCAGAGAGTCCGCGGACTGGCCTCCAGCTCCGCACCCCGTTCCGCCGCACCCCTCAAGAGGATCGGGTTGCACAGAGAGCTCCAGCTACAGCTCCAGCAAGGGTGAACGTCTCTGGTTCCACGCCAACCTCGCCGCACGCCTCATAAGAGTTGTGCCCCACAGGGAGCGTCAGTTACAGCTCCAGCGAGGGTGATCCTATCTGGTTCCACGCCGATTTCGCTGCTTCCTCACGAGGATCGTGCCCCGCAGGGAGCTCCAGCCTCAGCTCCAGCGAGGGTGCCCCTCTCTGTCCTCCTCCACCTCCTTCCCCCTTTCCCTCTCATCCTCGTCCCCTTTCTTTGTCTCCCCCCACGCAGCCCCACGGACCAGCCTCCAAGCCAGGGGGTCCACAGACTGGCCTCCACGCTGGGTTTTTTCGCCCATTCTGGCGCACGTTTCACGAGGATCGCGCCCCACATGCAGCTTCAGCCTGTAGCTCCAGCGATGGTGATCCACTCTGGTTCCACGCCAATTTCGGCGCACCCCTCGCGAGGATCGCGCCCTACACGGAGCTCCAACTACAGCTCCAGCGAGGGTGACCCTCTCTGGTTCCCACCCAATTTCGCCGCACCCCTCACGAGGATCGTGCCCCACAGGGAGCGCCAGCTACAGCTCCAGCGAAGGTGACCCTCTCTGGTCTCACGCCATTTTCGCCACATCCTCACGAGGGTCGTGCCCCCCAGCCTCAGCTCCAGCGAGGGTGACCCTCTCTGGTTCCTCGCCGCTCTACTTCCCAATTCCCCACGTCGTCTTCCTCCACCGTGCTCTCCCTTTCCCTCTTTCCTCCTGTCCTTTCTTTGACTCTTCCCCCACCCACCCCCACAGACCAGCTTCCAGGCCAGGGGGTCCGCGGACCAGCCTCCAGGCTGGGGTTCTTCGCCAATGTTGGCGCACATCTCAGCTCAGGTTCCACGCCCATTCCGCCGCACCCCTCACGAGGATCGGGTCGCACAGAGAGCTCCAGCTACAGCTTCAGCAAGGGTGAACGTCTCTGGTTCCACGCCAACCTCGCTGCATGCCTCACAAGCGTCGTGGCCCACAGGGGGCATCAGCTCCAGCTGCAGCGAGGGCGATCCTCTCTGGTTCCACAGCTTCTTCACGAGGATCGTGACCATAGGGAACTCCAGCTTCAGCTCCAGCGAGCGTGACCCTCTCTGGCTCCTCTCCGCTCTCTTCCCCAATTCTCATCCTCCTCCACCTCCTTCTCCATTTCATCACCGTCCTCCCCTTCCGTTCTCCCCCCACGCAGCCCCACGGACCAGCCTCCAGGCCAAGGGTCCACAGACCGGCCTCCAGGCCGGGGTTCCTCGCCCATTTCGGCGTACATCTCACGAGGATCGCGCCCCACATGGAGTTCCAGCCTGAAGCCCCAGCGAGGGTGACCCTCCCTGGTTCCACGCCCATTTCAGCGCGCGCACCCCTCACGAGGATTGCGCCCTACACCGAGCTCCAACTACAGCTCCAGCGAGGGTGACCCTCTCTGGTTCCCACCCAATTTCGCCGCACCCCTAACGAGGATCGTGCCCCACAGGGAGCGCCAGCTACAGCTCCAGCGAAGGTGACCTTCTCTGGTCTCACGCCATTTTCGCCACATCATGATGATGAGCAAGATGATGATGATGATGATGATGATGATGATGATGATGATGATGATGATGATGATGATGATGATGATGATGATGATGTTGCTGATGATGATGATGATGATGATGATGATTATGATGATGATGATGATGATGATGATGATGATGTTGTTGATGATGATGATTACGTGGCGGTGATATGGGTGATGGCGAACATGATGACGACGATGATGTTGACGATGCTAATGATGGCGACGATGACGGTGACGAGGACGACGTTCATGGTGATTATGATGATGATCGATGGAAGGTCGAAATTCCAAGCCTTCCTGTTTCCTCCTGGCTCCTCCCTCGATCGTGTCCTCAACCATTCACCACCCCCGTCCGATTCCCCCTCACTTGCTTTTGTGCTCACTTCCTTTTCCTTCCAGGGGTCCCGATCGAAAGACCCAGGGCGAAGAGCCAGGAACGGGGATCCAGGATTGTTCGAAGATCCAGGATCGAGGCTCGATGAACGAGGATGCTATCCAGGATCGTTCGAAGATCAAACATCCAGCAGCGTTCGAAGATCCAGGATCTACGACCCAGGGTCCACGGTCGTTCAAAGATCAATGGTGGAGGATCGCTGGAGGATCGAATGGCACCACCACCAGTGCACACAGCGATAAACAGAGACACTTGTATGGCATCACCGCCAGTGCACACAGCCACACGCAGAAACACGCAGAGACACTTGTATGGCATCGCCACCAGTACACACAGCGACACGCAGAGACAGTTGTATGGTATCACCACCAGTGCACAAAGCCACACACACAGACACTTGTATGGCACCACGACCCGTGCACACAGCCACACAC